GAAAATGGCACTGTATTTTCTATGCCAGTGCATGGTTCCTCGAAACAGACTTTAAGGTAATAAATAAAACTTAGGTCTTCATGGCATGGAGATGTTCAAGCTAGTCTTGAACAGGTAGGCAAGCTAGTTTTAGCCCTGTTTGTCAAAACATCTATGCCATTGATCTTTTCCCATCTGTCACACTTGCTGGACTCTTCTATCAGCTGCTTTGATTCTAAACCCAGCAGCAAACCTGGATAGGGCTGGTCAGTTCTTTAACTCCCGAGATACTGAAATAGTCCTTTCTGGAAGTGCCAAAGGATCAGGCTGGGTTTTCAGAGGAAACACTGGAGGGGGTGGGGAGCAATCCATTACCTTTCCTTGGGTGCAAGCCATTGGAGCAGTTGCCTCTGGAAGTGGAACCAAGCTGTAAAGCAGGCCATGGCTAACATACACTTGTTAGACTAGTTCTGAATAACAGAGATAACCTGTTGCCATGTTATTGTGGGTACCTTTAAGGTACAGATCTTTGTAGTTTTCTTCAGTAAAACTGTCTCATGGCTATTGTACTTGTGTGCTGCATCTGACCAATCCCTCACCCCTCCTCCCCCCCCCCAGCCATGGTAAGCTAGCTTAAGAAGTTCTTATTTCTGTAAATCCTGCACTTGTTGCTGTCATTCTTTATTGCAGGAAGTGTTGGATCATGCTGGGGGGGGGAACCAAAACCCAAACAAACCAACATAAAACCTGTAGGGGATTGCTGTTTGTTTGCAGCAGGTTCACTGCAGTGATCCAGTTAAATGGTTGCTACAACTTAAGAGTAGCAAATTGTAGCATAGATAGGAGAGCTTTGTGCTGGCTTTCCCACTGTAATTAACCTACCAGGAACCACATCATGGCTGTGCTTGATACGAAGTTCTTGTGTTTGGAGTCAGCGCTAATGACCAGGCCTTCGAATTGGCACAGGCATTGACTTCCTCTGTTAATAAAAGCAAAATGCTTGTATTGGATTTCATGAAAGCTTTCCCATCTTATTTTCTTTCCCATGCTGCTGATTGAAAGCAGATACTGTTAAAAGACTTGTTTTAGAAACAGCCAAACTGTGGAAGTGCTGGGAGAACAGCAAAGGGCTTATGGTCGTCTGCATCCTGAGGCCATTATTAAATGTCTGTCCCTATCCACGATCACTGCAACACAATCGTAGCACCTAGTGTCTCTGTTTCTTATTTACAAACACATCTGGAAAGAATGTGTGTAAGATCCTAGAGTGGGTTTCTTTATTTATGTGTTCAAGTTTCACTTAAACCCCAATGTATTTTGTTACTTAAAAGAAACTATGAGCAGTTTGCTGTCCTACTGCAGTCCTTTGGCTGGGTGCATAGTGAATGATCTACTCCTTCCACAGATACCCCCCCCAAAAAAATGTGTCTTTCACAGCCCAGTGGCTCTTCCCCAGTTACTGGCTTACTTGGCCTGTTGTGCCAGTTTGTAAAACTGGAAAAAGAATTTGCATCTTTTGTGACAGTTCCTTGGAATGTTATTGTTGAAGTAGCTGCTGAGCTCTGCTTTATCACCAGCTGGGTGCTGGAGAAGTCTGGGGAGAATATATTGTATGCCAGCAGTAGAATGTATTGTAATTCTTCAGATTTGGGGGGATCTGTTTCTTCTCTCCAGAAATGGGAGTAGGGAGTGGCTCTATTCTTTAAGCGGGCTTCACTCATGACCCAGAGAACAAGCAGAAACCGAAACCACTACTTGTATGTGCAGCAATTTAAAGATAGACATGCACACTTTGATTCAGCTTGCTCTTGTCCGATAATTGTCTTGGATATTGGCCATTAGATTTTGAAAATCCCTTACTCCAACAGCAGAAGGTCTGAATTTCAGGTCTGAAATTCACAAAAGTAATTTTACTTGATTTCCATGCTTGTTCTTCCAAGATGTATTTCCTTCTAGTAATTGAAGCATATGTACCACAACTTAAGTGAGTAAAACGTTAAAGCATGCTTAAGCCTTAGTAGAGTTCAGGCCTTCTTTCTGGAGCATCAAGTAGTATGTGGCTTGTTTGGGCTTTTCCTTCTGAGAAGTCTGCTTAAGCTCCTGAGAGTTGAATTTGAAACTTGACCAGCTTGGTTTTACAGTGGTCAGAAGTTTGACAGTGCTCTGGAGGTCTTCCTCTGCCCTTTGGGTTAAACATCAGTGTAGAGAATGGGGTGACAGAGTGCTTGGTGTGCTGTATTTTTCACCTCCAGCAAGCATCATAAAATTGTGTATTCTGGTCATATTTAAACGTGTGGGGACAGAACTGATATTTAGTGGTGCTGTTTGGCATGCAATAAGGTATAGAGGTACTGTTCAGAAACAGTTTAGAACTCTAGTTCTCTTACAAGAATCTCTTCCCTATCGAAATCAGAAGGACGAGATGATGTGTACCTATGCATGAATGGAAACTCTTGCATGTCCTAATTTGAATCATACTTCAGCCCAGGAGTATACGAGCTCCTCCTATTGCATTCCTGGAGTGTGAAGTTAACCTCAAATGCAAAGTAGAAAATGCCTGAAGATATTTTGGCTTCTAAACTGGCATCAAAAGGCTTTTTACCCCAATTTAATTAGTTTTCAATAGTTCAGGGAAGAACTCGGTCACTGTAAATTTTTACACACATTTCTGTAACTAATAACGTGAGAATTTTTTTTGCCTTTTAGGTATCTGTAATTTCAGTTTCGTACACTGAACAAAGGTTGAAGATGAGCAGTTTTGGCATGGTCCTTAGCATGAGTTGGTAGCCTAAAAAGAAGGAGCGTAGTGCTGAATCAAGGTAAAAGACAGGAAGGCAGACATATTGTCAAACGGAGGAGAGAGAAGAAAAGTCAAATGAAATAATGCAAATGGGGTGTGTGTGTGAGAGAACTAAATAATCAAACAATGAAGTGCCACAAAACCAGCTTGTCTCTTGTGCAGTTCCTGTACAAAACCAAGACTGGCCATTTATTATTTGTTTTCTTTGAAACACATACTGTGCTTAAAAAAAGGAGATCCAAAATGCTTACGCAGAAAGAAGAGGTGTAATTTCCAAGCAGATGATGACTGCTAATGAGAAGGGAATAGATCTGTACTTTTGCAAGTTGCAGTACTGGTAGTATGATGGCTTGTGAAGACTTTTCTTTAAATAAACCTGACTTGAATCTAGTTTTTATTTTCAAAGAGGGGAAAAATCCTCAGCATGTGTATCAACTGCAGTTTTGTTAGTAGAGTTATCATCTTCTGGTCATTGAGAAATGGGTGACGCACTCAAATTAAGCAGATGCAGTGACATTTGGAAAGTGGATTTCCTTTTGGAATTCCCAAATACTTCATAGCCAAATATACAAATGGGAGATTTGAGCATGCAAAGCAGTTTACCACCTGGTGCTGTCTGCTTATTGCAATACAGATTTTCAGCCAAAAAGAAAACACTACGACCATGTTATGAAAGAGCTTGGAGATTTTTTTTTTTTTAATTATTATTTAGCTGCCTGGCTTTTTATTTTTCTAAAACATTAGAGAGATGCTGCAGCTCATGGTCATGGAATTAGAGAAATTTTGTATTATTTTGGAATTTAGGAATATATTTGGAAATTTTTGAAATTATAACCAAACTATAGCTACTTACTAGGGGTTAAAAAAAAAGGGGGGGGCTTAGTTGTAAAGATTGATTCCTTCAAGAAAAAAATGAGAAAACTGAAGAAAATGGGAGAAGTCTCTCATAATGACTGTTCAAGTAATTGAGAGAAAATAAATGATTTTTTCAAGACCCTGAATTTCCAGAATGGAATTTGAACAAAAGAGTGCTTCAGTTGGATCATTCAACTGAAAAGCAAATTTTGTTTTCTAAGCAGTTTTCAGAAGTATATGTCACCCTTACCTGCATTTCAAGCTCTAATTTCTGGTTTGTTTTAGCCTTTGTGTGGAAGAAAGACTAAAATATCTTTTTGCATGTGTTTATTTAAAGATAACTGACAATCCAAGGCTTAAGGATCAGAAATTAAAATACTTCTGTGAGAAGACTGAAGCAATATATGTTTCTGCCATGACATAAAAAAAGTAATAAACTGAGATGAAATCAGTACAGATCTTGTCCCCCTGCACTTGGCGCTGGTGAGGCCACAGCTTGGATACTGTGTGGGCCCCTCACTACAAGAAAGACATTGAGGTGCTGGTGTGTTCCAAAGGAGGGCCACAAAGCTGGTGAAGGATCTGGAGAATAAGTCTTATGAGGGAACTGGGGGTGTTTAGTTTGGAGAAGAGAAGGCTCAAGGTGGCCTTATCGCTCTCTACAACTACCTGAAAGGAGGTTGTACTGAGAGGGGGAGTCAGTCTCTTCTCCCAAGTAACAAGCAATAGGACAAGAGGTAATGGCCTCAAGCTGCACCAGGGGAGGTTTAGATTGGATATTAGGAAAAATTTCTTCCTTGAAAGGGTTGTCAAGTGCTGGAACAGATTGCCCAGGGAAGTGGTGGGGTCACCATCCCTAGAGGTATTTAAAAGACACGTAGATGTGGTGCTGAGGGACATAGTTTAGTGGTGGACTTGGTAGTGTTAAGTTTGCACTTGGACTTCGTGATCTTAAAGGTCTTTCCCAACCTAAATAATTCTGTGAATCTAAAGGTTCCATATTTGATTTACATTATTGTATAGCTCAGTAGTATATTAATGGAGAGTTATATCTAATTGATACAAGCTGTTTCTTGACAGTCAGGGCTTGTTTTGTTAATATATTGAATTTCTTTGCTAAACTAAGGTTAGAATACATCACTGACATTGACCTATGTTTCAGTGACTTCTAGGTGTGAAATTGAATAATTTGAATACTTAGTGTCTTTTTCCCCAATGCTGGAGAAAAAGCATGTATCTGATGGGACTGGCACTCAAATCATAACCAGAAATTATTCTTTGAACTCTTTCAATCTATAATCATTAATCTGAATGTCTGAAATCAACCTGCAACAAGTGTAATGCCTATATCTTTTTCAGAGGTGTCTTGGTGAGACTGGAAGGATGCAGCCATCCTGTTGTTATGAAAGGCTTGTGTGCAGAGTGTGGCCAGGACTTGACTCAGTAAGTATTTTCAACTCTTTCTTTGCCAGCTTCTCCTGGCTTGTGATTAGGGATCCAAGCTCTTCCTTCTCTAATTTCATAGAATCATAGAATGTTTGGGTTAGAAGGGACCTTAAAGCACCGCCAGTTCCAACCCCCTGCCATGGGCAGGGACACCTTCTACTAGATCAGGTTGCTCCAAGCCCCATCCAGCTTGGCCTTGAACACTGCCAGGAGTGAGGCAGCCGCAGCTTCTCTGGCCAACCTCACCAGAAGTGCCAGTACCTCAACACCCTCTTAGGGAAGAACTTCTTCATAATATCTAACCTAAATCTCCCCTCTTTTGGTTTAAAGCCATTCCCCCTTGTCCTTTCACTACCCCTTGCAAAAAGTCCCTCTCCAGCTTTCTTGTAGGCCCCCTTTAGTTACTGGAAGGCTGCTATAAGGCTGCTGTGGTCTTTGCTTCTGTATTCTGAGTCTTAGTAGTTATGAATCATACTTAAAAGGGTAACTGTGGAAAATGTAGATACTACTAGGGAGGAAGAAAAGTATTCATACTGCGTAACATAAGTAGGCCTACTCAGAGTGCTCTTATAAGCAAAGTTGAGAGGGAGTTTCCTCTACAAGTTAAATTTCAGCACAAAACACTTCTCATGTTTTCTTTAAAAAATAATCTGTTGAGATTGGCTTATAAAATTGTTGCTTAAAGCTGGGTGGTCTGAATATATTAATTCTTGATCACATTATTAACAGTGTAATCATTTAATAAAGTGTATTTCTTTACTGAAAAATTGCAGCGTGTAGGCAAGAATCTGTGTTCCTTTTGGATAAATCCAAAATATGAAGACAAAATAGGCAAGTTCTGTGCCACTGTTACAAATGTGTGCACTTTTCCATCCATATATGTCACTGTAGTCACAGAGGCATTATTTAGAACTATACTATTTAGCCATTATAGGGATTCATAACTAGAAATATGGGTGAATAAGGTGTTATGTGGATACTTGAGTTACAGTTCATGTTACAAATTTATGACTTAATAACTGCATGCTCTCTCTCTGTAGAGGTAGTTCTAGGGTAAATTACTACCTTAGGGAGAAAATGTAAAGAGCATGCATACAGACACAGATTCTCATCACAGTGTATCCTACTTTGCTTTTTATTTACTCATAACTGAGGTTGGGAGTTGTAAGGTGTGTCAACAGTGACTTAAATGTGAGTGTTGTACCTGTAGAGGTATAAATAGTTGTGAGGTAGTAGCAGTCTCATTCATATGACCTTGCTTCATTTGTACTGTGTCTGAATGGGAGCTAGCTTGTCTCCAGTGCTTTCAGTTTAAGGTTTAAGAACTGTTTTCAGTTTTGTGTGTGTGTGTGTGTGTGTGTGTGTGTGTGTGTGAAATACTCTTCCATGAAACTAAAGGAATGTAAGCCTTAGGCCAAAAAGAAAGCAAATTCAAAAGATGATTGTATTTCTCTTTTGCTCTGTCTCATTGCTAATACAGTTGGTAAAGAGAATGCTTCTTATGCATATCAAATTACTAATTCAACAGCTGATTTCCAAAGTGGGCTATATAGTAGACTGGATTTTGGCAATAAATGTTGTATGCTTATTTCATTTGCAAGGAAATACTTTGGTTTCATTTTAATTCATATTCGTTATTAAGAACTATTTTGTGACGGTTATCCCATAAACCAGCACAAGTGGACTAAATGTTGAAAATGTTATGCAATATGTAGCCCTGTTAGTGGTTTGGATTATGACTTTTCATTAAAAGTTGACTGTTAATACTTGTTAACAAAGTATTATTTAATAAAATAAGAAACCTAACTGAAAGTTAGGATAGTAGCGAATAGGTCTTTGCCCGCTCTGAATGAATATGTGGTTTGAGGTTTGAATGCAATCACATCTAAATATTGCTATGCTGTTCTTTCATTAAAAATGTAGATAAATTCAGGGTATGCAGTGAATTCAGCTTTCTCAATTAATGTTTCTCTACTTCAGATATCTTCATTTTATACAAAATAGCTTATACATCTGGAAGAATGCGTTAGGTCTGCTGAGCCTACATCAGAAGGCAATTCAAAAGCAAATGTATTAATTGCTTTCCTTGCTTGAAGAAAAGCAAGTATAGCCAGTTCACTGCCAACTTGTTGGGTGTTAGTGGTGCATGCTTTCTGTTAAGTAATTCGTATGCTTATTCAACAAATGGTCTGAAAATAGTTCATCTCTTTTAAAGGCTCATTTAAAATACTATTCAGTGTTGCATATAAAAGGTGTTCTGAACTCTAAAGGGAAGGATGTAAAGTGCTAGAATATGCATGTAAACTTAAGACCAAAGGAAGTACCTGTCTTTTGTTTCCTGGTATCAGTTCTTCCAAGCACTGAAGTGTAGCAAAAGCATATCTGTCTGTGATTGGGTCTGCTTCAGCACGGCACAGTAATACTGTTTTTCCCCAGGTGCTTGCTTGTCATGAACTGAAAACTGGGTGAAGTTTGACTCTGGTTGCAGATCTGATATAAAATCTTGTACGTGGTAGGACAGGTACTTGGGAGAATTAAGAAATGTGCATGCGACATATAGGACAAAACTTGTATGGTAGTATTTTTAATGTTGGTGAACCATAAATGTCATCAAAATTAGATACCACAGTTCCTAATAAATTGATATGTATAAGCTGGAAGCTAGTGGTACTGATGATAGCAGTGAACTTGGTCAGTTTTCAAGGAGTTGCATACTTCTTTGTGTACGCACACACACTTTCTTATATATATTTCACAGTCAAGTGAAGACTTGGTCAGTTTTCAAGGAGTTTCATAGTTCTTTGTGTACGCACACACTTTCTCATATATATATATACACACATATGTACATACACACAAATGAGGATACATATACTGTATGTATTAATATTTATCTGTATATACATGCATCGATACGTGATTATATGGATAGTAAGACTATATATGTGTATAAAATACACATAAAATACAGGCACACACATGTAGTACTTCATTCTGTTTGTGTTGAAGGAAAAAGTATGTATGGGGATTTTTGGATGCTTTTCTTGAGGCAGCATTCATGTGTAAGTCACATAAAGAGTAATTTTGCCTATCCTTTGCTTAAATTTATTTTACAGTCTGGCTTGAAGAAAAGTAGATAATTGCATGCTGAGAGATTGCAGGAAAAAAAATTTTAAATTTGAGCGGCTTGGTGGTTATACTTTGTAACTGTTTTCTAATGCTAATCAATACATAGATGTCTGTTTCATCCTAGTGTCATTTTAATGAAATAATTATACAGAAGCATAACTAATTATGGTGACTTGTACAAGGTTTTTATGGTCAGCTGCTTTAATCTGTGTCCATTTATCCATTTTGTTCAGTAACTTGCATCAGCAAGAATTTGCAAGAAGAGTGTATTATTCAAAATAGTTTTTTGGTGGAGACTAGTTTGATACTCCAGATTTAGTGTTCAATTTCTCACTAAGCTATTACTCTCTCTTTTGATGCTTCTTTTCTCTGCATGATTAGGATACGAAGCAAGAATGGAAAGCAGAATGTGCCATTATCAACAGCAACTGTGTCTATGGTTCACAGTGTCCCAGAACTGAAAGTTAGCTCTGAGGTAAGTACCATCATGTTTTCTTTATCCATACCTTTCACTGTAGCTCTGCTGTTGAGAAGCTTAATTATAGGAGTGTTTTCAATGTTGTGTATACTTAATACAGAAAGTTTGGCTTCCCTCCGAGGAGGAATTTGGTGTCAAGCATCAGTAGCCCAGGAGTTTTGTGTGTTTACCCTGCTGCAGATTGGTTGTTATCAGGTTTATAGTGTTCTTTTAGAGCTCTGCACTGAAAAGATGATGCTTTTGTGACAGCAGCCTCAGAATTATTATTTCAATGTTTTTGTCTCTAAGAATGAGCAGTTTGTGTCAAGTTCAGATTCCAGTAGCTGAACCGTGTTCAAAGCTTACAATGTGGTACTTCCAAGGTTTGGAAACATGCACAAGAGGAGTAGACTTCGACTCAGATTTAACAAAGTCTTTGATATCAAGGCCCATGCAGAAGTATGTAATCTAATTACTTGTGTCTGAAGGCATTTATTCTTTAATCTTAGACTGTCAATTATATTAATTTTTGTTATTAGCGGTTTCAGTTTTATACTCAGCCTAGTGTTGTGAGCTGTAGTATACCTAGTTGATACAAAATTGCAAGTTTTCGGACCTAGTGATGAACACGTCCTTTGTGTACCCCAAAGCTACTACTGTTTCCTCCCAAGACTCCTGGCTTTGGATTAATTCAGTGGTTACTTACTAACTTTGAAAGTAATTGAGTTTATCAATTCCGAGAGTTACTAGTGTCTCTAAGATCTGAGAGTAGACTTTGGGAGTTACTTTTTTCTGTGGAAAAAATGCTGACAAAGCTGCCATCACTACAGTTATGTTGAAGTGTCATTTCTTACACAGTTCATTTGTAGCAGACCTTCTTAAGTTTACAGTGCACAAAAGGCAATAAATCTAATTTTATTTCCTCTAAGCTTAGTTATGAATATTTTGTTACAGCAAGCTGAGCAGCTGGGAAGAGAAGATCAACAGCGACTACATCGAAATCGGAAACTGGTGCTCATGGTAGATTTGGATCAGACATTGATCCATACTACAGAACAGCACTGCCAACAAATGTCTAATAAGGTAAGTATTTGGTGTTAACCTTCAAACCAAAGTAACAACAGGAATATTTCTAACAATATTTTAATGATGGTTCTTCAAGAAAACATTCCATGATTAGGTGAAATTGTAGTTGAAGACTAACAGAAAATGAGAAACAAGTCTTCTGAAATATATTCCTTTTTTTCTCTGCATTTATATTGATGGTTTGTTTTCTTCCGTTTATGCTTTCCTGCGCTTTTCCATTCTAATCACTTTGAGAAGTTTAAGGTAGCTATTTTTAATCTCTGCTTTCCTTCCTCTACAATTCACAAGCTGAGTACTCATTACTGAGACTTTTTTTTTTTTTCCCCCCTCCAAGTCTGAGGTGGATATAGTGAATTGCTGATTGAAGTCCCTCTTTGGATAATCCTGGTATCCAGGATTATCCTGGATGTTACTACATCTGTCATTCCTTGAATATGTCTAGGGATTTTTCTTTCTTCAATTTTTTTTTTTGGAGGGGGAGAGGGGAGTTTGAGTGTTGCTGTTTAATTCTTCATGAAACATTTGTCATTGAACTGATAGGGATTATTGGCTTGTAATATTTCCAGTTTGGAAACCTAAAAAAAAAAAAAAGCATGTTAGAATGTCTCTACAGTGTCTTGTAAAGGAGGATGCAAATTCAAACTTGTCATGCAAACTGCAGCTGCTTAGTTCCTCTTTCTCCTCTTGCCATTCTTGCGTGTCCAGTAGGTTCAACATGTGTTAACACCTGCTAGCAAAAAGCAAGCTGTAAATGTACTTTGCAACTGAGAAGAAAAGGAACAGTGAATGTTCAGCTTGAAGATTAAAAACCTGTCTATTTGAAAGGCTATGTCTTCATCTGTATAAATAAATGGTTTAAAGAAAAACATTTTTTAAAGATTGTGAGATTTTTATCTGGGATCTTTATCTGCAAACTTCCTTCCTGGTTTGCTATCTGATGGTATGTTTCCATAGACATAATATTTTTTTGTCCAACAAAGTCTTTCTCTGAGCCAAATATGTACTTGAACTCATCTGAGTGAAGTTCACTGAATAGTACTGATTGGATTGAGATCCTGAACTTTCTGAGAAATTTCTCAAGTTGCTTTGTTCAGATTGGTTTGCCATAAGTAAAGATTTGAATGGAAGTCACCTCGATCATAAACTCTTTCAAATGCAGGAAGGTACACTGGAAACTTTTGTGTTGGACTGCCTGGCACAGAGCAAAAATGTGCTTTGAGTTTTATTCTTCCACATAGTCTTTGTGGCTAAAACTTGCTTTAGCCTTGTCAGCCCAAATAAAATTAGTGGAAGTGATGGAAGAGGGAATAGCGCTTCTGGAATGCTGGCATTTTTGTTTGGTATTTTGATAATATGAAACATGCTTTTTCTTCTAGGGAATATTTCATTTCCAGTTAGGTCGAGGTGAGCCTATGCTGCATACTCGTTTGCGTCCTCATTGTAAGGAATTCCTGGAAAAAATTGCCAAGCTGTATGAATTACATGTTTTTACTTTTGGCAGCAGACTGTATGCACATACAATTGCAGGTGAGTAGCATGTTACACTTAACAATATTTACGTAATCAGGCTTTATACTCATAAAACTAGTTTTCTTTCTTTGATTGCTTTCAAGTATTTGTTCTTCGTTTTGTGCAAAAACACTTCCTAGATATTTCAGTAAACAGAATTCTTGGTTCACTTACAAGGCAGTGCCTGTATGGCCTGTAATTTTAGCAATAATCCTTTTCTTCCTATCAGACATGCTTTTTTTTCTTCCCTTATGCTTAGAGAATCAGACTGTGGCATGACAACTAGTGCCTTCCTATTCAGTTAAGAAATTATGTTGATGGGCTCTAAAAATGATCTGCACATCACTTGTCTTAAAATCTAAAGTAATAATTCCATAAAAATCAACAACATGAAATTCTCTCTTCCTGTGGGGAACATACCCCCCCCACACATACACCCAAATACACCCTGCTGTTCCCTTTCACCAAAGGAAGTTTGGGTGCTATAGATCAATTTACAGAAGTTCTATTTGTGTTCTGGAGCTGAGATGTGCTTATTTGAGGAAAAGCACAGATCTAGCAGCATTTTCACATACTTTTCCTCAAGAATGTAGAAGTGTTTTCTCTTACTAACTGAAAACTTTTATTTAAATTATAGCAATAGTAGTCTGTGGTGTGGGTCACTGGCTGAAATGCTTTTGTGTTTCCAGCAAGCATAAAAGGAACCTACCCTGTTGTGAAAATGTATGGGTCAAATTCATCTTAGGCGTGTGACCCTGTGTTTAAACTGTAAAATTGACTTTCAGTCCCTTGACAGAACAGCATTTTCAGTGCAGACTTTCATTTATGAAGTCTGTCAGACTAACATAGTATAATTCACAATGTTTTAAGTTATGACTCTGCATGTCAGACTGTCCTTGCTGATCTTCTGTGTCTCCTAGCTTTTTTTGTCTTTCATAGCTGCTTTTTTTGTGTCATGTTGCCACAAGTGCATTGAGCAATGCTATCCCAATGATCCCACTTCTTGGCAAGAAAGGAAGATTCCAAATTAGTTAAATAGCTAACTATTCGAGTTAACTCTAGAGCAGTTTAGAAAAGAATTGTATAAATAGAGAAGTTTTCATGCATGTTAAACAAGCCAGAGAAGATGCTTATAATAACAGAATTCTCTAATCAGAAAGTGGTATCTGCTTGTGGTCTCCAGCTAATTTTCCTTGAAAGTTCAGGAGAGACATATCCCGTCCTGCCCATCCAAGTGAACATTTCTACATTACTTACTATTTCCTGACTGAGAAGAATCTTCTTAAAGCTTTGTCAGTCTTGCTGTTGGGTTATATGTTGTTTACTGCTAATGCGTTAACACTTTTGTACCTTGCTGTCCTCCTTGGGGTGGTTATTTCTTGTGTAGCAAAAGGGGAATGGTTTTCTTACATGCTAGGTCTAAATAACTGACAAAAGAAAGTAGGTGGGCAAGATTCCTTACTAGGATCTATGTGCCAAAAAACTGCATGTGGCTTAAGGTCAGAAGATGTCAGAAGACATATAGCAAATAAGCTTCAGAGCCAGGGAGAAGAGTGAATTGCAGACATAGTTAACTCATAATACGTACGTGCTTCCCCAGTGATTGATCATCTCTCAATGTCTGATTCAGTCATGTGTTTGCTCACTTTAATCTCTGACCTAAAATTTTGATTACCCTGCAGTCCCCATGCTGGCACAGGCTGGCATGTGTAATGTGACAGGCCTATTTGTGTTCATCATACTTGAGCTGCTCCATCTGTTACATGGAGGAAATAGCCATCAAATGAGCAAATTAGGGTATTGCTGCTTCCTGACATCCCCAGCCTTCTGGATTTTTGCCTGAAGCTGTCTAACCTCATCAAAAGTGTTCAAACTGCAAATGGATAGTTTCAGATGAAATATGTTGCTATGGAGAAACAGTTGATTCAGCCTTTGGTCCATATACTTGCCTGTGTAACCTAGATGCAGTAAGAGAGAAATGTATAGCTAATACATACAGAGAACACTTGATGGCAGTATTGGTTAAATGATATATCAGAGAGTTGTCAGTCTGATATCTTACTGTTATCCCTCTGTTACGTAAAAGAAGGACTTGTAATAAAGAATCTTTGCTCGCAAGAAAAAGGTTATGTTGTTAGGTCCTCCATATGCATCCTAGATTTCTTTGTGAAATTAGGTTCTCCATATAGGACCTATAGGACTATAGTCCTCCATTTCTTGGTGAAATCTAGACACTGAGCTGCTCCTTGCATGTTCTAGAAGGCTTTTTGCTCATTTTGCAAACAGATGGCAGAGGTCCTTTTCTCTCATCCCAAGCAGACTCGTATCAGCTGTTAAGTGGCATTAGCTGATATTTGTAAACACCATCTATATCTGCCTGAAGTAGTTTATACTAAACCCTTTCTTAGTTTGACACATTTACAAAGTGGTATCATGTAGTATGGTTGTAAAGATGAGGTTTTGGATTTTATCTAGAGTCTCCTTTAGTATTTCTCTTATAAATAATTACTTTGACCAATTGATACTTGATTTTTTTACCTACTCTACACCAGAGAAGTTCAGTGTATTTAATACTGAAGCTGGCTTAAATGATGTTGTAAAAGCCAACGCAACTGTGAATTTTGAGTTCAGAGGCCACTAGGCAACAATAATGCAATGTGAAACCACTCTTAAGATTCCTAGTAGAGTTTAGAAAGTAGGATTAATTTGAGAACATTCATACGTATGGTTTGTTACAGCAAGTATATTACAATATGCATTTCAAGAAATAATTGACAAGAATATGTGTGTATGTAATCACCAGTGTCTGAAGGTCTCTAATGAAAGATTGAGTCAGCAGTTCTTTCCAGGTTCTAAAGTAGGACCTGAAGTAGAATTGGAGATGACTTTCAGTTTTAAATTTATTTTTAAAAGGACTTCTTCAAATTATGTTGGATCCTACTGTTACATCACTCCTACTGGGAAATACTGTTTAGCTCAATCTGTCTGTAAGATCTGAGACTTCCCCAATATGAGTTATTTGCTTTTGAACATTGCATCTTGTGATGTTTTTTTAGCTTAACCTTACAAGTCGTACTTACAAGTTTGCTTTTGTAACAGTCAATGTAAGATCAGGTAACACAGCTAGATAAGCCTGTATGTGCAAAGACACAGTCTGAGGTACTGGAAAGCACACAGCTGGGGGGAACAGTCTCTGGTAGGTGAGTCAACTGAATAGTCCCTCATAATATTTCAGTCAAAGGATAATGATAGTGACTTCAGTTTTTTCAAGAAACTGCTTAGAGGTGTACTTAGCACATTGTCTAATTCTTGGGACTAAATGGAAGCTCAGTTTTGATTTGAAACTGCAAGTCTGTGTTCAGTCATTTTGACTTCTACTAAAGGCTTTAATTTTTTTAAATGTGCTTACAAAATGAGAAATTCATCAACATTTATCCTTTTGCTGGAATATTTTGTGCAACCTGATACTTCTTCATTTAAAAAAAAAAAAAAAGGAAAACCATTAAGAAGATTCATTATCAACACTCAGTAAACTAAGTGAAAAATGACTGATCACTTTTCAAGGCATGGTGGTCGGAAACGGATAGAAATAAATAAATGAAACAATGTTAAGAGTACAAGTTGGGAACACTTTCACTGTTTCTGTATACTTAATGAGTTCATACACAAACGTTTTTATTGCTCTGGAGTCATAGAAAATGGTAACAAAATGCCCCAACAGAAAAATAACATCATCAAAACAGATGCTTTTTTGGTGTATCTGTATCGACTTTTATTAAAGAAAAAGCCACCAGTGTTTTGTGACGGTATCATCAATTTGAAACCTGTGGCTTCATTATTAAAGGTTAATATCCAAACAGTGTGCTATTGTAAATTCTAAGTGTTTTAATGTATAGGTTGTGAAAAGATTTTTATTTTGAAGGTAGTAGATTTTTTCATAATAAGGGTTTCCCAGTTCTTGTTGCTGAAAGCAGCCTAATACTGTTTGTTTTTTTTTTTTTTTTAATAAAGAAGTTAAATCTTATACTTTACTTAGTTTTATCTTGGAGGGTGTATCAGCATCTACTTATTTTTAATGTGAAGTTTTTATTTCTTCAGGTATATTCTATTTGCAGTCATAAACCAATTAAAGCTTTATGATTTAAGTAACAGTATGTTATGTAGCCACTAGTTGTCTTGCTTGCTCTTGCATGGAGCAGAATCGTAGAATAGTTTGGGCTGGAAGAGACCTTCAAAGGCCATCTAGTCCAATCCCCCTGCAGGGGCATCTTTAACTAGATCAGGTCCTCTGCTTCCACTGATATTCCAGTTATGTCTTCCGGAGTCACTAAATAGGTTAGTGAATAGCCAATATAGCTTTTTCAAAATTTAAAGATGATATTAACATACTGTCGAAGAAAACAAATTATGTGTGATAAATACCTGCCATTCCCCTGAAATGCGAGTACATCAGGGTTATGTCTGTTGTATTGATTCAGTTGGCTAGGCAACATCCAAGAGAAAGCAAAGAGTTTTAAGACATGGTCTTTAAATGACCAGTGCTATTTTCCATATTCTTATTCAAGTAGCTTAGCTTTGAAAGACCCTATTCTCTTAAGATGGGCTTTTATCTGTGTGGGTACATCTGTAGTGAGCTGTATCATCACTGCATTTTTAGTGAATTATCAAAGAGGGAAAAAGTATTTAAATTAGGTCTTTACCAAAGCATTATTGAAAAGCTCCAGAACATTACCTCATTTCTAATGCCTGGCAGTCAGGGTTTCTGTGCTTGGGCTTTCTTAGTTCAGCTTCCCTTTTCTTGCACTTTTAGCTAGACAAGACTGCAAATAAATGCCTCATTGTGGTTTCACCGTTTTATCAGTGCGCATCTGTCCAATTTAGTGTGGAGTGTCCCTGTGTATTCAGAGAATAGAATACAGAAGAGAATTTGTTGGGGAGAACAGCAACTTTTATGACAGCTTATGTAGTTTGTCAAAATATCTGTGTATATGGCAATAAATCTTTGTAGCTAATTCTCTCAATTCATTATGCCTAGGTACTGCAAGGGTCTCACTACAGGGGATGATTCTACGAGTTTGCAGGAATTCTTAAGCATAGCCGGGTGAGTTAAGGTTGAACCTCTGTCCTTAACTCGGAATTTTCTTGCTTTTATGGGTTTTAAGTTATTCCAATTACACATTAATATTAACTACATAGAGGATCAACTTTTCAGAAGTGATGGCTGATTTTTTTATTTTTTTTTCCTTTTTTATACCTTCTGTTTTTGAAGACCCAGCCTAAACATACTCCTGGGAGCTGGACTTCTAAAAGGAGTTGAACATGTGTTCTTTGCAAGTCTCAAAACTCCTCCTTGAAAGAAAATTAAAGTTGGTCCTTGAAATCTATAGACATTTTGCACTTTGTTTCTGGCTGTTAAGATAGCCACCATTTAAGATAAAAAAAAAAACAAACCTTTAAAAAGTTGTCCCAGATAAGTATTGACTGCCTTGTATTAATCAAAAAATGAGAACTTAATGCTAAATTCAACACAAATTCAATAAAATGAAAAATTCAGATTAGCATGTAAGATGTCAGTTTCTTTCTGAGCAATTACGTGGCTGTGATCTGCTCATGAAGTTGAACTTCATTACTAGACACTAGGTTCAGAAGCATGTGCATGTGTGTTTGTACACCCAAGTCACCATTTTCCTAAATAATGGCATTTTATATTGATTTTAAGATCAGATAGCACAGCTTCTCTTGGTTTGTTTTTGGTTTGTTTTTGGTTTTTGTGGGTTGTTTTTTTCGTTGGTTTTTTTTTTTTTCCTCCCTGAGTGTAGTCAGAACAGTTACTGCAGCTAGGCCTAAATATTTCTAGGAATCCCAGGATATATTCATTATGTGTAAATGTATTAAAGTAGTTTTTAGAGGTACAACTTAAAACCTACAAATGCAAGAGATCCGGCTGAAACTGTCCCTTAACTTGCCCATTGTGCTTAAGTATTGCAGCACATTGCCGACTCTTGTGAGACTTCTCTGCAGTCCCTAGGCATAATGAGCTAAGGAGAGCATTTAGCTTTAACGAACCACCTGTAGAGAGGTAAATGTAAGTTGCAAAAATCATGTGTATCTATTATCTGCTGTATCTCTTCCAGCCTAATTTATGTGGCTGTCACAAATTTAGTTCTCTTACTTTCAATTTTGGTGCTATGTTGAAAGAAAATGAGATGGGATTTCTAAAATTAATCCCATTGCATTAGTTACAAATACTTGATCCACTCTGCTTACCCTTTCCCCCATATAATGCCTCATACCTTAGAATTGTCTGTTAGTTAAACTGCTGTGGCATTGATTAAAAATAACTGAATTATTTAGAATGTAAGCGAGGAACAAACATATTGAACATTAACTTTTCAATTTCTTCTTTCAAAAGGATTTTTGGACCCTGAAAAGAAGCTGTTTTCCCATCGAATATTGTCAAGGGATGAATGTATTGATCCATTTTCTAAAACTGGGAATCTTAGGTATGTATATGGGTCTTACGCATTAAACAAAACAGGACAACAAAGACAGAATATGCTCAATATAATAAAAATCACTCCCTCTGTACATAACATGTTTATAGTCCTCCTTTATCTGCTTCTTAAATATCAACATGGTCTCCATAAAACTGAGGTGTTAGGTATTGCAGCATTTAATCTAGTTAATGTGTTCTGTGGTAGTAGAACAGTAAGAATTTGAAGCAATGGCATCATGTATTTGCTTACACTTTTCTTGTAGTAACTTAACCATGTTTCCATTTTATTATTCAAGGCTTGTGGTCTTGTTTGATGACTTGTATGTTGCATGGGGTTTTTTGTTTGGTGTTTTTTTGGGTTTGTTTTTTGGGTTTTTTAGTTAAACCAAAATTCTCGTTTGTGGTCAATTCATATTTCAGTGTCTAGTATTCTGGCTTTCAAATATGCTATACATCTAGCAGCTTCTGTGGTCCCATGTTTCTTGAAATTAGGGCATCTAGAGCCTTGAATTAATATTCTAGTCTAAATTCAGGTTCTGATTTTTTTAAGGTTTAAAAAACAAGATTTTTTTTCCCTATAAGGGAGATATATTTAGTATTTCATAAGACTAAATAAAAAATTATTTCCAGCTGACCATAGCAAGTAAGAAGTTTGATTTTTTTGTTGGAGTTTTTTGGGGGGGGGTTGTGTGTGTGTATTTTGGATATTTTTCTCTTTTTCTCTTGATCTGTTTTCATGTGCATGTGTATATAAAGTACTCTACCCCCTCCTCCTCAGTGATGTAAGTATTAGTACTTTTTGCTTCCATTGTCCTGGATTGAATGAGTCTGCTCTTTAAAAAACTGTTCTTTTGTCTTTGCTATATATACGTGTGTATATATATATATGTAGATAGTGTATTGACCATGTATATCATTGGCTTTGGGCTATTAGTTGACCTAAACTGTGAAAACTAGGTTGAAATGTTGTAATGTTTTGTTCTTGCAGAGGTTTGTTGGTTCCTGCTTCTAGCCTCTGGAACAGAGATTTAAAAACAGCTGTTTCCTTTTTCTATTAACTTTAATTAGTAAGCTGATCTACTTGTATCATGTCCTGCAAACATAATTGTAACAAACCAGAACACCAAGAAACTGCTTTCATTGATAGTATTAATTTCTAAAACCGAATTAATTTTATCAACTGATTTGTCTCTTAGAGATCTCTTTCCATGCGGGGATTCAATGGTTTGCATCATTGATGATAGAGAGGACGTTTGGAAGTTTGCGCCCAATTTGATAACCGTGAAGAAATATGTATACTTTCAGGGGATAGGAGATATTAATGCACCTCCTGGACCAAGAGAAATTCAAATGAAGAAGAAAGGTAATTATATATATTTTTTTAAACCACTTTCACAAGTTATTTTTCACCTTTCAAATATGTTTGATGGAAGTCATTGTGGTGATCTTACTAGTATTGCTGTTCCAATCCTATGTTATTGTAGTCAACAGAGTGCTCCTGCAGCATGAGTGCAAGTAGCTTAGTAAAACTTGGCTGTTGTTGTTCATAGCTTTCTTTTTGATGGATGATCACAGCAAAAGGGTGGTACTGGTAAATAGCATTATTGCTGGAGAGCTGATTTGGCAATACAACAAATTCAAAAACAAGTAGAGGAGAGCAATTTCTCTCCTTATTCTCTGTGTAAAATAAGGCACAGAGAAAAATAACTCTTTTTTTCCTCTCTGTAGGTTTCTCCTTCTTGTTCTCCTTCCCTGCCCCACTTCGAAGCAATAGTTAATAAACTCTGTTCTTAACTTAGAGCTGAGAATGAGTATTTTGATCCTTCTTAACCTCCCTGCCTAAATCATGCTGCAGTAGTTCCATTGCCCTGAGGTGTAATCGTAAAACTCATGCTAAAAGATAAATCCTTTCATGTTTGCATAGTTAACAAATAATTACTGATGTCCCCTGTGATTTTTTTTTTTTTAATGGAAAAGCTACTTAAACAGCATCTTTACAACAGTGAAGTTTGATAGGTTTGCCTGTTTTAGTTCGTTCTTGTAATCATTGACACCTAAAGTATCTTAACTTTTGAATAAGCCTCTCAATTCTAAACATAATGATTTCTAACTGCATATGTAAACCGTGTGTTTAAGGAAAAAGAAAATTCAATTTTGATTAAACCTGAAAAAGAGAAAATATGTACAGGTTTTATTTCTATCTTTTCTGTGTTTTAGTAAACTACTCTACAAAACCAGAGGCACTGGATTCAGCAGTGACATCAGCAAAAGATGCTGAAGAAATAAAGAGTGTTATATGTGTAGAAGAGCAAAGCAATGGTCTCAAGAAAACTACAAAGGACTCTTGCACTGCAAATGGAAGTACTTCTGTAAGCAGTGAAATATCTGACTGCGATATGAACTCTCACGATGAAGTCACTGCCCAGGACACCTTAAATGATAGCACTGATCACAAAGTGGACAGTGAGGTCACTAATGATTTGACAAATAGAAAAGAATCCCAGATTTCTTCAGAACAAGATGATAGAACAGCGACAGAGAAGCAGCAAACCCAGGACAAGACAACAAATGACTTGGACTTTGAATTGTCTAGTGACAGTGAAAGTGATGGTGGATTGGATACCAAAAAGTCATCCACTTCTGTGTCAGATAGTGAGAATGAGGAAAAGAGAAGCTGGAAGAAATCCAAACAACCTCTGCAGGATGAAAATTTGCAGAAAGGGAGTTGCATTGATGTGAGTGAGAAAAAAGATGGTCTCATGAACCATTCTGGGGATGCACAATCTCTACCTAGTGAAAATATTAATGACAAAACTGATCTTGAAGCACAAGAAGAAAGTGAACAGGAAAGTCTTTCTGATTTAGGAAATGGGTGTGCAGACAAGAAAGAAGCTGAGACAGAGTCTCAGAATAGTGAACAATCTGGAATTACAATGGGTGAGTCCTTAGATCAAAGTATGGAGGAAGAAGAGGAGGAAGATGATACAGATGATGATGACCATTTAATTTACCTTGAAGAGATCCTTGTGCGGGTTCACACTGATTATTACACAAAGTATGATAAATACCTGAAAAAAGAGATTGAGGAAATTCCAGATATCAGAAAAATAGTACCAGAACTGAAAAGTAAAGTGTTGGCAGATGTAACCATAATATTTAGCGGACTCTACCCAACAAACTTTCCCATTGAGAAGACACGGGAACACTATCATGCCACCGCACTTGGAGCTAAAATTGTGAAGAATCTAGTACTGAGTGCTGATGATCCTGACAAAGCAACGCATCTCATTGCAGCAAGGACAGGTAGGCATATGAGACAAGTTTTCCATCAGCTTTTTTCCTGTTTCAGTTCATTCATGCCTTGAGTTTTGTTTTTATATAATGTACAGGCTTTAATGTAACTGAAATTAGGATTTAAATTAAAGGAAAGTTTCTTCTTGAAACAAGTTAGAAGCCTTTTTTTAAAGGCTTTTTTTCCTTTTTTTGATCAAGTGTGGCTCTTAACTGTTGAAAGGATGACCTGCTAAATAACCTCTGAGATAGCATGTCATGTCTTGCTTCTCGGTTGAGAGTCGGTGATACTGAGTCTTTTGACTGTTAAAGATGTTGAATATAAACTTTAACATTCATTTCAGAGAAAAGCTTATTACGGTCTTGCTGTAAAGTTACAGGAATGCTTGCTTTCTTGGTTTCTGAGATTTCAGCTCTCATGGTTCAGTTTCACTTTGTATGGAATTCAAACAAATTACCTTGAAACTAGAATCTAATGGTAGCCTGTCCCTGCTCCATGTGTAGCCTGTATGTCTTTTATCATGAAGAGACAATATAATTTTCATGTTTTTCCAATTTCAAATCTTAAAATGCTTAATTTCAAAGTTCCTTTGTCTAACTTACACTAGGTGGCTTCTGAATCTAGTTGTACGGAAGTTGCAACTGTTGTATGATGGTGTAAAATTGATAAGATAAATGTAAATGAGACCCTCCCAAACATACACATTTCTCTAGATGAAAAAAGCTGGATAGCATTATGTTAGGGAATATGGCATGTTATAATGAGAAGCAGTTAAGGCTTTTTTTATTTTTTCTTTCCCCTGCTTGTTTTTAGAGTCTACAGTCGGGGGGGGGGGGG